AACCCCGAAATTGACCCAAAAAAAGATTTTAAACGGCGATTTGGATTTTTGAGTATTTTTAGGTACGTGAAACGTGTTTTAATTTCCGCAGAAAAATTTAGAAAATTCGGGGATCGCCAGTAGGCACAGTAGAGAGTTCAATATTTCGAACACTGATTCGGGTGAGAATCCATCACCTTATTCTCTGTTATGAAATTGAAGCTTTACAATCGATAATATATTATTTTATTTAATTTAGAAAATTTTGAGAATAATTTTAGATTACTAATTGAGCTAGAACCGATTAGTTATCTATTTGTTTGTTCTGTGTAACTGATTATTTGCTTCTACATCTTTAAATACATGAGAATATACTGAAATTGTTAAATGATTCAGTTGTGCTTCTTTGATGCATATTTATTGATTGTCTTGCGTGATTTACAGTTAATTTGTTAAATTTAAAATTAACATGCAAAAGGAAAATTTCTTAGTTATGTGAATTAATTAACGGTTGTCTTACTAGATATCCTAAGAGATTGTGGACGGATCAGGTAAATAAGGAACCCTACCACAAACGTTGTCTCATACCGGACGGGGTATCAAGAAATGATATTTTTGCCACTCGTACCGGACGGGGCATGGAGACGACCCGATTCACCCTCATACCAGACGGGGTATTGAAGATGATATTTTTTGCACCCATACTGGAGGGGGTATGAGGACGACCGATTAAATGTTGGATATTGGTTCACGCGTAGTAGTACGTCTCTATGGACCTCCAGAGATATCAGTAGGCAAATAGAAAAAGGAATGTTGTTGTTTTTTATCACTTGAATATGAATTTATAATATTATTTGAGTTATTGTCTCTACATATCGATTTTAAAAATTTTGTAACGATGAATATATGCAATAAATAAATTTTCTTATGATAAATGAATTTACTTAAATTAAGAATTCTATTAACTATTTTTATGATTTTTACCCTTTTAGTTTATGTATCGATGAGTAGAGTAATATTCTTATTGGGATAGTGTGACTCACCATTTTATTAATTATTTTAAATCAAAATGATTAAGATCCAGATCTCGATTAACAGGAGAATTGTGAATAGCTTACTGCCCGGACTCCCTTCAAAAGCTAGTGAAGGTCGTCTCAGAATACTCAGTTCTTTGCCTTTAATTTATTTTTTTAATTTTCGTTTGTTTTTTTAGAAAGAATATTTTCATAATCCTCTTGAACATTCTAAATTATTGTATAAAGAATGTAAACCTTAAACTCTATTATTTCGCTTCCGTATTTAATTTATAATTTTATTTTTTTTAAATTATGAGCTTATACAAAAAATAATTTAAATATTTTAAAATAATATATATAAAAGTTTAATATTTTTTAATTTATATGTATATTTTTTAAATTTTGATGCAAATAACTAATTCTTAGAATCAAAATAAAAAAAATTTAATCTCAATTTAAGGAAAGTAATATGATATATTGAATGCAAAAAAAAAAAAAAAAAAAAAAGGGGTAATATTGTCCAATAGTAAACTATAAATGTAAAGTCTAGTTTAGTAAATTTCAGAAGAGTTAGCGGTTGATTTAAAATTTTAATTTATTAATATATTAGTATTATTATAATAATAAAAACATTTTTTACCAGTTAAATATAAATGTAAAATTATTAGAATAATTAAAGTGGAAACTTCATTGCTTTTTATATGCTTTTTTACTTATTCTGGAACTTCCTCAACTTTCCAGACCTTTCATAGGATAATATATAATGATTAACCCAAAAATAAATAAATAAAAGAATAAATTTATTTTATTGATAAAATATTATTTGTTTAACACAAAACAGGTATTATCAGTGTAATTGTAATTAATAATTAAATTATTAATAAATAATTATCTAAAAAAAATTAAATCAATAAGAATTAATTAGATGTTAATTAATACAAATAAAAATAAGATAAGATTGATAAAAATTTTGAAATTCAAGATCTCTAAGTTTAATATAAAAATATCATAAAAATATAGATGAATAATTAATATATATTCCTTAATTGAAAATAAAATTATTTTATTTTATTATTTATATTATATAATTATAACCAATTATATTTTTTATATTATATTATATTTAATTTCAAATCAATGATCCCATAGAATAGCCAAGAAAGTTCAAGAGCACTCCCATCCTATTTATATATATATATATATATATATATATATATATCCACACACAACAACAACAATTCAAGCATCAAATCAAGCTCTTATACATCTACCCACTTCCAAAATTTCTTCACCCAAGAACCAACAAACATGTTTGGCGACCTAGAAACCAACATTTTCCTTCCAGTAGTATACAAATACTGCCCAATCTTCAGCTGTCCTACAGACTGGAAAGAAACCCATGATTCCCATATCTTCATTTGTGATCTTCCAGGTCTTAAAAAGGAGGATGTCAAGGTAGAGATCACTGATGACAAGGTGCTTCAAATCAGTGGAGACTGGAGCAGCGGCCATAACAAAAAGTATTTGGAGGAAGAGGAAGAAGATTGTAAGGAGAAGAAGAAAGAGATAAAGTGGCATAGAAATGAACGTTGCAGAGGGAACTTTTTAAGGAGGTTTAGGCTGCCGGAGAATGCAAAGACTGAGAATGAAGAGATAAAGGCTTGTTTGGAAGATGGAGTTTTGGTGGTCACTGTGCCAAAAAAAGAGGTGAAGGTACCAGAGAAGAAGGTTGTTCAGATTGAAGGAAATTGAAAATGAAAATATATATATCTATCTACATATATGTATACAACATATTATATATGGATGGATGTATGTGGGTGTGATGGAAGAAACTATATATGGGTGTAATTGTTTTTCTTTGTTTTGTTATGGGTTTGCTCTATAATTTGTATTTCCTGTATGTATGTTATATAAAGTTTTTCTTTTATATATATATATATATGTATATATATAAATATTATGATTAAATAAAGTTTGAGTCTCCTAAATTTATATTTATATGTATCTTTATATAATTTTCACTAACTTTGTATTTAGTTGTAGAAATCTCTAACCTTTTACTTGATAAAATCTTCATTTTATCTATTTTATTAATTCAACTATATAAATTATTGGAGTAAGAATTTCACCAGATTAAAATTCTCTATTATTTTAAGTGATTTTATAAAATTTTAAGTGGATACAAAAATTAAAATAATATATTTTATTTAAAAAATATAAAGTTATAATTTTCTTGAATGTATATATATATATATATTTAAAGAGGCAACTAATGTAGAGAAAGATCCCAAGTGGGTTTTATATATTGGGGTAAGTTGGGTCATGGGTTTAAAGGTTTGGGCTTATTCTGAAATCAAGCTTTGACCCTTTGTGGATTTTGCATGTAAGCAATTTAATTTCAGAGTATACGTATGTATGTATGTATATATATATATATATATACATATATAGGAAAGAGATTTAATTTAATTAAAGCATATGAAGATTTGGCCGTGATACATTTGGTCGAGTGATTTATGGCACTAATTTTTTAAATTTATTTTCTTTGTTCTCTTAATATATATATATATATATATATATATATATATATATGGATGTTATAAATTTTTACATTTCAAGAAAAATATATATATTTCATGTTAACCCTTTTTAGAGAAGCACTTGCTTCTCACTTATCACTTTTCGGACCACACCACACATTCTAGGTATGGAGCTCTCTGGCTTGCTTTTGGCAAAAGCATGATTTATATATATATGTATGTATGTATGTATGTATGTATGTATGTTATCAAATGCCAGCTTCTACATTCATCAAAATGTATTCACTATTTTATGCAACCATTTTAATCTTAAAATAATTTTGGTGCCATTGATTGGGTGGGTGGGTGTGTGGCCACATGGAAGTAATATTATCATATTAATTAATTAATTAATTACAACTTAATATAAAATCTACAATTAAAATAATAAGGAATCAACATATTTTTATATATAACTAAGCAAGATGATTCATCTTGTCACGTATTAAATTAGACAACATTAACATTACAATATTATATATATATATATATATATATATATAGAAACCTAACCCTAAGCCAAGAAAAAAAAGGGTTTATAGTTAACCCATTTTTCTTTCTTCTTGTTAGTGATTAATTAATTACTAATTAAATTATTAAACACTAATGGTATGATTAATGGGTTGGCAGCCTGCAGCTAGTAGTGCATGATGAAGCTTCTTCTTCGTCTCTTTAATGGCTGGATCCTGTAAGAGTAAGACTTTGTCTTTGTCTTTTACTCCAACCATGTGTAAGTATTCATCATCTTCTTTCTCTTTCCCTTTGAAGAGTAACCTCTGCTCTCTTGGCTCCAAACCAGTCACCAATGACACTACCATCTTCAATTCTCCTGCCAAATATTTTAATTTCATATATTTTATTAATTAAATAACATATATATATATATA